TAAGAATATAAGCTTTGCAACAAACCCTATGTAAACGCGTTATGATGGTTCGGGTCTCAGGATGACACATTCGCTCAGGCAACGACGATGGCTCTGTGACAGTGGCATCGGAAGAAGTTTCCAGTTTTCTAACCATCTTGTGGCCTCAAATGCTTCCTGGCTGACATTCATGAGAAAAGGTAGCTTTTCAACCAGTTTTTTTTTGTCATCTGCTGGCAATGTTGTTTTTCATAAACTTTTCTGTGGTTTTCCGGCATAGGAACCAGTCTGCTTTAGTTTGTTTTCCTTATCCGGTCGTTTATTGTTTGATCTACTGAAAGGAGGGTAATCAGCAGAATCCATGCACCTCCACTCCTGCTCGAAACATGATTTGGTGTAAGGCATCCATGAGCACCATTTGGCTCAGTATTTGAATATTTGGCAACAAGTGAGACAAAATATTTAAAATACGAACATACGTGTGGTTTCATTCACGTGCTCTATTTTTATTCTTTTTTATAACATGGGACGTCTAAACCAATCATCACTATCGTTTGACATCGGCAAAAAAAGCAAAAACGTCTTGCTTAATTTAACTCAAGATTGCCAGCTTTAAAGTGATAGTAAAGTGTTATGATTTGGCATACCAATGCGCAAAGAAATGACGCAAAATTGATGAAAATTTTGGCTCGTTATTTGCACTCGGATTTGATATATAGGCCTCCAAAGTTCGGAACGTTTTTTCTGGGCCACCCGGTATAGTAGGTAATAACTAGTTAGTTAGTGTGCTTTGATAATTGATATTTGCTTTGACACTTACCAAAAATGAAGTTCTTTATCCATAAAGGAAAATTTCCTTTCGATCAGTAAACCATGTTTTAGTTTGCTTAGTTTTAACCATGACTTTTGTTTATATGCCTTGGTGTATAAAGATTTCAGATTTGACCAATAATTATCACGTCTCTTTATTCCTTCGCTCCTCGCTTCTCACTCTTTATTTCTCCCACTCTCTCTCTCTCTCTCTCTCTCTCTCTCTCTCTCTCTCTCTCTCTCTCTCTCTCTCTCTCTCTCTCTCCTTCTCTCTCCTCTTCTCTTTCTCTGTCTCTACGTCTCATGCGTATCGTTTCGCTAACTACCGCGCGGCAGGCCATGTAATGCCGCACTATCTGCTGAGGTCAATGGGTTCATAATCTCTGATGACTTGCACATCATTCGGGGCTGCTGCATTTACTCAAGCCTTCCGGAGTATTTGCATGCGAAGGAAATTTAACATGTTCTCAGGTGCTTGCAGGGGACATCGATAAGTGTACGCTGTCGAGACGTGTGTGCACAACATTTTTTTTTTTCATAGCGCAAACTCACAAATGTGCTATACCATACCTATCAGAATTTGCAAGCTCATGCGTCTGAGGACAGTGACATTACGCAACTGGTAACCTTTAGCTTCCATATGCTCACGTGATATGGCAGCCGTACAAAAATAGTGGGTCCGATAGTTACCATCTCTCTGCGGGCAAATGGAGGCAAATAGTGCTGTATACACAGGGCCCCGGGACGCCATATTAGCTTTGGCAGAGATCGCCGGTCATTGGCCGAGTGTGACGTCATCAATGAAGGTGCGGTGCCAAACACAAAGGTTTCGGTTTGGTACAGGTATGGTGTCGCGTGGTATCAATGGATACAGCATGACATATTGGGAATAACTGAACAAACAAGTAAGTGATACGATTATATTTTGCTACCTAACCACAGCTCAATGCAAGTGTCATACCTATGTGAGAAGTCACATCAACGATTGTACCATAACTGTTGTGCTCATAACTATCCTCCTGTGTCTGGCAGATCCATGTCTTTGAATGCAATATGACGACATTTTTACTGTAGTAATCGTAGCGTGACTGAACACAGCATGCACATTTGAGGCACTTTATTTCTCAGCTCAATTAGATATGCATTCGGGCTTCTGTCTGTTAATTCAACATCATACATTCAGAGATAGTTAATTTGAATTCATATTCACACACAAGGCAAGCTATGTCCTACTTTATCATTGTACAGTGGCGGAATGAATCATTATGAGACTCTGCTATCTTTTCCAGTGTTACTTGAGCATTAGGCTTACAGCTACTGCTCGTCAGTTTAGTTTTGAAAACGGTGAATTACATAAAACACTGATCATAAAATGCTTACAAAATGCCAAGCCTATCCCTTGCTTGTCGTCACCTCAAGTAGCCTCTCCTGCCTGGATAAGTGTTAGGCCGAGAAGCGTTTTAATAAAATACAGTGACGGTAGTATTATCGGCCGGCAATTACCGGTGTTTCACCGGTGTTTTACTGTCACGCGCTGCAGTGCGCTGCAGCGCGCTGCTGTATTGGTGCGGCGTGTGAGACGAATTCGGCTCTGACCCTTCAGCGTTGTAAGCGTCCGAGTTTGTTGATGTTTTCATGGAAACCCAACGCGCCGCTGGTATGTCGTAGCTCCCAGCGCGCTTCAGCGCGCAAAGCGTCGGGACGGTGAAACAGGGCCCGGGTAGCACGGCCGACAATGAGTGCGGGGCCGGGAGAACGCGCCGGAATTTTCAATGGGGTTCAAAGTCCAGTCCATAAAATCCCTTTCATATTGACATTTTCAGCTGGCCGTAAAGCATCTTTTATCGGACTTTCTGCTGGCGAGCGGGGTCCGCCAGCATTTTGTAAATAGTTGCTGCACAACAACAACAACGCTTTAAACGAGACGCCCAACAGTTTTCATCGTGAAAATGGATCGGTACCGTTCAAGTTATACTGAGGTGAAATTTTCACTGATGATCAATGATCAAAACCCATAAGATCCTTTCCAAAGCAACATAATCAGCCGACCGTACAGCAGCTTTCACCGGCCTTTTCTCCCGGCGAGCGGGTCCGTTGTATTCAGCGGGCGACGGATCTGCCGCCTGGCACACACACTGTTCCGCCGCACAGCTGTGTGATGCGGTACAGTCTACCAGTGCAGTGTCTACCTAACGTCTCACGCACCATGCGGTGGCGTGCAAGGCGGGATCCAGTCTAACAGTTTTCATTCATGGGGAGCGCTGGCATTGCGCTTGGTGTATTTTGAAAAGATTGAATTTATTGAAGTTCTCAAGTTATCATTTATCTACATTTGAGAAATTACTTGACATAATTCCATTATGTCAAGTAATTGTTATTTATGTTATTTGATTACATAAATAACATTATTTAAAAAAAACGAGTGTGTAAGAGCTGACTAATGAAAACTGATCAAACTGAACGTGTGGGTCTCATTTTACGAATTTTACTAATTATTATAATACTTATATCAATAACGGAAAATAATGCCTGGGTATATTATCGCAAGTTATAACAGCATTACACATCTAGATACCTACTGGATTCATAATCGGACAGCAAGTCGGCAAGTCAGCAAGTCGGAACCATCAGTGCCGGACATCCGCCTCCCGTCGGACTCCCCCCCCCCCCCACCCCCTCCACCACCTGCGCGGTCCGTCGGTCGGCCGCACTGTTCCGCGTCTCTGACCGTGCGTCCGCGACCCGCCCCCCCCCCCCCTCCGTCCCCCCGTCGGTGCCGACACGGCGCCGGTCGTCGTCGGCCGCAGAGACGCGACGGCGGTGTCGGGGGGTGGCCGCGCACATCGGACGCTCCCGAGATCCGGTCAGCATCAGAGCTCGCCGCTCTGGGTCGTCTGACAGACTTTTGGTCAGGGTCGTTTGAGAGAGGACTTACCGCGAGGAGAGGACCGTTGGAGGACGATCTCTGAGAGGACTGGGCTCCTCTCAAGTGGCCGGAGAGAGGCGGTAGAGCAGTCGGCACTCAGCAGCCGACCGCTCCGGCGAGTGTTTGTCTTGGAAAGGTGAGTAGACCGCGGCGGGATCGGTCAGAACATTTCGGCTGTCAGCCTCAGCCGTCCGCCGGGCCGCCCAACCGTCTGTCTGTCTGTCTGTCTGTCTGTCTGTCTGTCTGTCTGTCTGTCTGTCTGTCTGTCTGTCTGTCTGTCTGTCTGTCTGTCTGTCTGTCGGCGTCTGTCTGTCTGTCGGCGTCTGTCTGTCTGTCGGCGTCTGTCTGTCTGTCTGCGTCTGTCTGTCTGTCTGTCTGTCTGTCTGTCTGTCTGTCTGTCTGTCTGTCTGTCTGTCTGTCTGTCTCTGTTGATCCGTCTGTCCGTCTATCTGTGAGTGAGGATACGTATGCATAAAATGGCGCGCGTGATCTCGCGGCCATAATTTTGGCTTATGGAGAGTGCCGCACTTATACAGCCTCACGTGTTCGACCGTGCTGAAAGACACAACTACACAGAACAGGCGGACACCACCCGGATTTTCTTTAAACTCGACGTCGTACGCCGCACCCATTGATAAGTAAAATAACCGTTTCTAATATCTCTCCGACTTCAATAACGCAGCGGCGTTGGGCTGCGATTTATCTGACATGTGATGGCGATCACGTTAGGCAGCGCAGAAACCCCACTGTCGTGATTTCTACTGGTCAAAGTTGCTTCTGTATCTGAAAAGAATAGCTGATGTGTAAATCGATTGCGCCCCGGCCTGACATTTACAACATAACGGGCACACTATGTCGTAGATCGCCCGGGCTCGAGCTTCGGAATCAATCGGCCCATAGCAACAAATCGCCGGCCGAGTTCATGCTGTCATCCTTCAACTGCCACTGCTCAGCAATCTAAAGAACAAATCGCAGCTGGAGAAATATTACAAGCGAAATGGAGATTGGATTCTTTTCTGAGTCGTTTGTCTTCGGTACTTTCTACCGAAATTGTTTTAAATCATGCTGGCTGGCCAATATCTACGCTCGTGATAAATATATATTGAATGTAGTGTCGAAACGCACCCTGTGCTTTATTTGCATCGATTGACAATTAAACGCTCAGGAAGTTGATCCTTGGCGCAATTTAGAAAATTCCATTCGAAACGTAGGACGTTATTGCTGTCTTGAAAGTAGACTAGAATTCGGGTCACTGGTACAGCAGCTCGCATTCTGCTCCAGTTGGAACGCCATCACGATTTTTGCTCTGAACGAAATGCAGCCGAGTGGCCGATTTCAGTTCACGGCCGCTTTGTTTCACCAGCGCCGCTGGGCCGCTTTAATCCTGCCTGCTGACAGGGCAAATACTGCCTCTCGCTGGCCCAAGAGATGGTTGCTAGGTCGTTGTGCAATACCAGTAGTTAGCCTGCAGAGGGCCAGGGAAATGCATTTCCCGTGTTACACACCGTTTGCGTGCCGTATTGCACATAAATTAGCACCTGGAAGTAATGCTGAGAACACTGGCAAACATGGATACCTTGGGACTATAAGAGCCTAGAGGCGAGTTAGCAGTAGCGTTTCCAAATAAGCGTAGTCAGCACATAAGGTAACTTTGTCCAAATTATTTATTAGATAAAGTGAGAGTTTGACTGTCAAATTATTCTTAGCATTGGTTAGTATAATTATAAGTAAATTATTATAGTAAAATTATTTGCGATTAATAAAGACTAAACGGGCCAATTATAATTTTCCTTCATCCTCGCAATATTTCATTCAAATGATGAAACAGTGATACCAGAATAGACCATAGAGGCAAACTAGTATCAAAAGCAATAAATGATACGTTCTTGAATGTATCCTTACGCACGTATTTGCCTGAAATGGCTAGTTGGCAGTTTTATCGTCGCAATATTAATGAAGCCGTAGCGGATAGAACCGTGACATTTCTTGTAATTCCATTAAAAATAGTTATACCAACTTCTTCGGGTGACCGCAAACGGTTATCGTTCACTGAGTAGTTAGAGTAGACCGAAGTCAACCTACCTAAGTCTGCCTTTGAGTGTTCCAATGTTGATACCGTCCGCGAAAGACTGACAAATGTGTGCTGAGATAATTGAGCCTGCGTCTTTCATTGGTGCAGAAAACTGTGCAACATTCCAGAAAATTATGATGATGCTCATCGAAATCATATCTTGATATCTACACTCATACGTTGTTTGCATGATAACTATGGGGAACTTCCTTTCTGCTTTGGCTAGGAACTTAGACTAACTCAGGCTCATTCACATTCTAATTCAAATCTTCGACCCCGTTTGGAGATACTTTCGCTAAGTCTTGGCGTCATCTTTCTTGGACGATGACCCATTTAATGAAGCCCTATAATCTCATTCGGCAGGATATAGCATCGAGCCGATTTGAATTGGAAATGGGTGAGATTTATACGCAAATGGCGCGGATGATGGCGAAGGCAGAAATCTCTTTCGAACTAAGACGTCCCTGATCTAACTAGGCAATGCATTCATCCATTGGGGAGATGTGCACATCAAAGGCCTCCCGGTATTTCCCATTCCCATTTGAATGATGTAGCGAATTCCTTCTACCGGAATCTCCGGGCTGAAAAGGAAGTGTGGGCGTAAATATGGATATCCCCTGACTGGCTTGTCACGCCTCGGGTGCCCGAAATAGTGGCTAGCTTGAACTGAGGCCGCTTCATGACGTTTTGGAAGAAATGCATTCTGGAGACATTCCTTTCAGGCACGTGAATAAGATGAAAGGTGTGAGACATCGCGATAAGATATTTCTGTTTGGGGTTTGAGTAATGTTGGAAGTGCTTTGGAGTAACAAAATGCTTTACCACACGACACCTCACATTGCAAACTGAAGACCAAGCAGTCAGCGACATGCGAACTGCATTAAAAGAATGCGCCTGGGCTTTGACACTACTCAACACCGATCAATCTTCTGTCTTTTCGTCACGCCGTTTCTGCTCGCCCAGTCCGGCAAATGCAGGTTCTCAGTCCTGGCGGCCCCTGTGAAAGAAACCCGCCTGTGAATTCTGCGAGCTGCTGAATGGAGTTATCGCACCAACGATCACTCCCATGCTAGCCTACCTGCACCGCCAGTCGGCCCGTTTCCCTTTCAGACTGGGCGTCCTTTCATACAGGCGCGGTTGGCGGCCGCTGTCGTTAGGGGGTTTCTGAGCAGCCCAAGGTAGTTCAGCAGTGGGCGGCTCTTTGAGTGCAGCTTTAAGCAGACCCACATGACGTGGTGAATTTAGCGCGGATAGGTGGAGCTTCTATCCACACAGCGTGCTTTGCTTACGCAAACAATGTCTGAATGAAAATTTGAGTCAGGTTTCCAAGGGGCGAAAGTTTGTGGCTGGGGTGATTTATATGAGCAGCTGGAGATTATATACGCTGCTGGGACTGAGGCGTCAATGCAGAAACATGAATGAGGACCTCTACAATTTATTTTGCCACAATACCTATGCACGAACATTACACTGCCTCCTTCAAAAAGAGACCTGCAGCCATGCTCTTAAACAAAAAGATGTTTGGACTCACATAGATGGCCATGTTTTCAAAGCCGTGCAACAATGAAACCGTGAGCCATAAACGATCAAATCGATAATATCAAGCGCCGGCCAAAACAGTTCGCTGCTACTGTTGTTTGAGCGCAGATCCACTCACCGACAAAGAATAATGCCGGAGGTGTGTGGCACGGGTTTACGACATAAGTCCTTTCATAGTGTCCCCCAATGCGCCACTCTATACGTTTCGCTTTGATAAACAGGCCTCTTATACGCGCTTTTCAGCAGTTAAACTTCCGCCGAAGACTTTCATTTCAGTCGTAAAGTCGTGTTATTCCGCGTTAGTTCTACCAATGCTTTTAATCCTGAGAATCAAAACAACTTTGCAACCGATATGCAATTAGGTAGTCGATGTAAGTTGAAACCTGTACTTCAGAGAAAACTTTGAGTAACGTTTTTCATCATCGTATTAACACAAAATATGTTAATCAAACGGTGTTGATCGTAAGGTGCTGAGACATTGCGCCTTGAAAAAGCTCAACGGCCCTGTCCCGTCATTTTGTAAACACCTGGGCAGTGGACACGACTACGAGAAGTGTCAATATCTAAGCACACATTTTGCTCGAAAAGAAAAGCACTAAGCAATCCACCGCGACAAATGCCCGCGAGTCTTGGCTGCAATTAGAGCAGTGCAATTTTGTCTGCAGTTCTACTGCATTCCCACGGAACTAAAACCATAACCATCTGTCGTCCATCCATGACTGTTGTGGAGGGAAGAGAGAGAGAGAGAGAGAGAGAGAGAGAGAGAGAGAGAGAGAGAGAGAGAGAGAGAGAGAGAGAGAGAGAGAGAGGAGAGGGAGAGAGAGAGAGAGAGAGAGAGAGAGAGAGAAAGAGAGATAGAAAGTGAAAAAGAGCTAGAAAAGAGATAGAAAGATATAGTGAAAGTAGCTTGACAGTAGCTTGGATAATGAAGCTTCCTTTGTCGGATTACGTAACAAAGATGAATCAAATACAATAAAAAAAAAACATTGCGACAAAGTAGATCCAAAATGAGAGAGTCCGCGGATGACAACAGTGGCGGCGTTTTCCCTTCAGAGGCAGACGCCTGCCATCTGTTGAATAAGCGCGGGGTGAATTTCGAGCCCGCTGTCGGGATGCGCCCATTTATCTCCAAAACTAGCCGGAGAAGCGGCGGACCTAATGAGAGAGCTGAGGCCAGCGGACCAGCAGCGTCCATCAAAGTCTGCCCTGATGACTTTAGAAACGTCGTAACGTACGTTCGGACCGTGTTGACGTCGCCAAGTTTCGCAGTGTCTCGTTGCGCTGTCTGGTAGTGTCGTGTTGTGCTGTCTCGCTGTGTCATGTCATTTCTTGTACAGTTGGGGTTTCCTTCTCCCTCGAAAATAGCCCTCCCTCTCGCGTTGTCTCACGCATTGTCTCACGTTGTCTCGCGTTGTCTTACGCATTGTCTCACGTTGTCTCGCGTTGTCTCACGCATTGTTTCGCGTTGTCTCGCGTTGTCTCACGCATTGTCTCGCGTTGTCTCACGCATTGTCTCGCGTTGTCTC